AACTTTTACAGTCTCCATTAAGAAGTCAGGTGTAGTTCTAAGAGGTGTGTAATAGGTCTTTTTTTCTTACAGTTTTCAATATTCTTTCTTTCTTCTGTATGTTTTGTGTTTTGATTATTATGTGGTGATGGGATTTTCTTTTCTGGTTCAATCTAGTTGGTGTTCCATAAGCTTTTTGCACCTTTATAGGCATGTCCTTCTTAGGTTAGTCAAATTTTCTTCTGTGATTTTCTTGAAAATACTTTCTGGGCCTTTGAGCTGGATTTTTCTTCCATTCCTATTATTCTTAGGTTTGATCCTTTATAGTGTCCCATATTTCCTAGGGATACAGTTGCAGAGGACGCTCTGAGAGAGTGGAGCAAATCCTTGTAGGGGCAGCCTACCTGATCCTCCACCAGGTAGGAGGACCAGGTAGGCTACCTGGGGAAGGTCCTCCTGCAAGGTGGGTGGCCTACCTGGTCTTATGGAAGGCATGCCCTGTGGCTGACCAGGGGAGGGGTTTTCTGTCTGAGTTGGTAACTGGAACACCGCAACCAGGTGGGGAGAGACAACTGAGGATTGGGTCTGTTGGAAGCTAGTGCATGACAAAGGTCTGCAGGCATGTAGCCTACCTGGCCTCCTGGAAGAGGTGGCTTGGTCTTGAAATTCTTAAATTATAATATGTATAATTGAAAATGTAAAAATATCTCCTTCTTAACTCTATTCCCCAAATGATACTAGTTTTTGAAGCTCTCAGTCAGATATAAGCAAGTCTATAGTCAATTTTAATGTGAATAGAAATCATAAAATCATATTTTACATTGAATTTACCAGATCTGTCTATGAAGACCCGGCTGTCCGGGAACTCAGTATGTAGACCAAGCTGTCTTTGAATTCCAGAGATCTTCCTGCCTTTGCCCCCTAAGTGCTAGGATTGAAGGTGTGTGCTACCACATCTGGCTTGCAGTTTGTTTGTTTTAACTTAACAATTTATTGTGAACATTTTTATTTTTACAGAATTGAGACATATAGTTTGTGTATTTTGACTGTTTTCTCACTGACGAACATATCTGATTTAGATATTTTTAATTGTTATATTTGAGCTAAGGTTTCCCGTCATTTTATGGTATGAGTAGTATATGGCATAGCCTGTAACTTTTGGCACATCTTAATTTAAGACAAGTTGTGTTAGTGCTGTTTTAAGAGCAAAACAATTAACAAATCAGATAATTTATGTGTCATTGTCGTTTTTTGATTTTTTTTTAATCTACTTTATCCCATCATCCAACAAAATTATCTGCTTTGACAGACAGAATTTTAGGTGAGTCGAGGTAATCAGTAAGGAATAAAGATACGATGCCTGCCCTCCTGATATTTATATTCTAACAGAGAAACATATATAAGAATTTGAAAATTAAACAAGCACATAATTTCCACTGAGTGATACTTACCCTTAAGAAATAATGTGATTTTTTTTTTTTTACTCTAAAAACCTGGTGATGGTTAGGCCTCTGTAAAATGTGCATCATACAAGGTTCTATCCTGCCTGCCTCTGAGTAAGTGAAGAGAAAATGGCGTGCACTGGATCCTTCACCTAGCAGAGAACCCACATGCTGCACAGATAGTTTGGCTAACAAAACTAAATGCTTGTACCTTGTAAAAGCAAAGCTTTCAGTCAGGAAAAAGTGTAGGATGCTCCACACGTGAACAGGAACAGCTGAGTGAGAGATGCTGGCATGCAGGACTCCTGTGGTGACTCTTCTCCTGTCTTTCCCAGGCTGACCTTGGGATCAGCTAAAGTTAGCATTAATACACTCCTCTAAGTGTATGAATGTGTGTGCCCACAAGTAGGTCAGAGGACAAATTCTCTCCTTGTATTGGTGGATCAAACTCAGGTCATGAGGCCTTTGCACAAATGCTTCACCCAGCTGAGAAATCTCTTTTTTACAATGAACTTGTTTACCTATACCTGGGTTGGCGAATTTCAGCTCTGGAATAAGTAATAGAAAAAAAATACTCTTTTCATGATTCATTTATACTTGTAGTCTTCTGAAATAGTTTTTGAAGATAACTATCTTTTTTTTTTACCTGTTATCAAAATAATAGCTTGTATATTAGACTGTGCTGATTTCTTCTGTGGTTCTTTCATAGCAGTAATATGCACAATTACAGAAGAGGTGCTTTTATGCATGGCTTCTTTTTAATTTAGCTTCCTTTTTTGTATCAGTTTTGACTTTTTTTGAAGGTTATTGCTGGCTTGTAATCTGAAAATAGTAACAGCTTATCTTTGCAACAAGAAAGAGACAGGCACCTTCGTTTTTATTTTTGCCACAGGAGGGAGAGCTAGTGTGCACTTGAGACTGAGCAGTCAGTGTATTGAAATGTTTCCCATGACCTAATTACCGCTCTGCTGCAGTTTTGCAGAGAATGTGTGATATGCTCATGAAGGCAGTGTGCCTTTGTCCTTCAGGAACTCTTACTTTGTTACCCACTTCAGTACAAAACTACAAGCATTTAAAAGTTTCATATATACAGGCCACTTTATAGTTCTCTTAAATATTGGAAATCCAAACTCTCTGTACGTTGTCAAAATTGCAAGAAAGTGTTTTTACTAAATATTTGTTTAACTGTTGTGATTAAATTTGCTATTCCCTCTCTACTTTGTTGACTTCACTAAGAAGGCGGTAGAAAAGATGACTAATCTGAAAAGGAACTTTTAGGGACTCAATGCAGGAAATACAGTTACCACCATTGGGGACACGCAGAGTCTTACTATTGCTGAGGCAGGGTGGGATCCCTAGGGATGTGTGGCCCAACTGGGAACATCATTGAAGAAACTGTGTGAAGTTGTGGGAAACTTTTGGAACAATTTCTGCAGATTTAACTATGAAGGGATTTATTATTTTTTTATTTTTTCAATAATTTTTATTCACTTTATATGCTGATTGCAGCCCCCCTTCCTTCTCTCCTCCCTCTCCTGCCCTTGCAAATCCCTCCCCACATTCCTCCCTCCCCTTCTCAGAGAAGAGGAAGCTTTCCTTGGGTGCCACCCAACCCTGGGACATCAAGTCCCAAAGGGAATAGGCATTTCCTCTCCTGCTGATCCCAACTAGGTAGACTGAGTAGGGGAAGGGGATCTAGTGGCAGGCAGCAGAGTCAGAGACAGCTGCTGCTCCGTTTGTTAGGAGACCCACATGAAGACCAAGCTGCACATCTGCTACAAATGTGTAGGGTGCCTAAGTCCATGCTCTTTGTTTGGTGGTTCAGTCTCTGGGAGCTGCCATGAGCCCAGGTTTGCTGACTGTAGGTCTTCTCGTGGTGTCCTTGACCTCTCCAGCTCACTCAGCCCTTCTCTCTCTCTTCCACAAGACTCCCTGAACTCCAGCTGATATTTAGCTGTGGGTCTCTGCATCTGTTTCTATCATCTGCTGGGTGGAGCCTCTCAGGAGACAGTCTTACTAGGCTCCTGTCTGCAAGTACAGCAGAGTATCATTAATAGTGTCAGGGGTTGGCTCTCTTACATGGGTGGGTCTCAAGTTGGACCAGTCATTGGTTGGCCATGCCCTCAGTCTCTGCTCCATCTTTATCCCTGCACATTTGTAGGCTGGACAAACTGGGAGTTTTATTTTTAAAGTTTATCGTTCTGCTGCTTTTAAGTAATCCTCAGCATTTTACAGGATTACCTTAACATTTGCCCTTTGTATATTTTTATGCTTTTGTTATGATACTACATAGTTTATTTGAAGTTTTCATTCTTAATGCTTGTGAATTTTTACACACTCGGAAGAATCATTTTAAATGGGTGATGAGTGTTGAAACATGTATCATATAAGTCTGTTAATACATGTGAGCTATTTGCATTTATTCTTTTTTCCAAGTAACACTACAAGTTATACAAGTTTACAGTGGAAGAGATTCTTACAGTGGGATAAGAGATGAATTTTCTGAAGGAAAGTTTGTAACACCAAGTTGTTAAGTTATATGTAGATTTTTTTATTTTCACCTAGTGACTCTGAAGAACTCACTCTCTAAAACTTGGCCAGCATTAAATATTATCTTATTTTTCTAACCATGGCTAAATTAATGGGTAAAAGGTTTGTACCTTTTTGAATGTTTATAACTTTCCATTTATGGATTGTCAAACTTTTCAGTATGATTAAAATAATAGGTGTTTTATTAAATCTTGGTAGACCTTCATGTGGTTGAGTTCCTTCAGTCTTTCTGTCATTAGCATACTAATTATCTCTTATGTGACTCTGCTCAAAGACATCTAGGAGATGAGAAAGTGAATCCTATCACCTCAGACGTCACCTTTGGTAGCATTCCTGTTCATGTGTTCCATAAGGACTGATGAAATGATTGTCATGATATTTTTTAAAACTCAAAAGATTGGAAACAGTTTCAAATTGTAAAATACTTTTAAATTAACTATAGTAGATGAGATACATCATATACCCAGAGCTCTCTGACAACTGGTCAGTGCTGCCAGAGGACACCATAAATGGGTTTGTGGGTTTGTGGATGTTTGCCCTCTCCTACATAGTTAGAAAAGTCTGCTGCTTTTAGAATGTCCTCTCTAGCTCTGTATTTACTCGTATACGTTGGTTACTATTCAGTTGTCTAGTTACTGAACCTGTGCCAAAGTGACCATTCACACAACCAACTCACATCAGGAGGAGCAGATAAATAAAGATAAGTACATGAGAATTAATTGTGATTATTGCTTAGTGGTTACATTTTTATTTCTGTAGCTTTTTATACATTATCCAGAACTGTGGTACTGCAGAGTACAGTGGTCTCCCCGTCAGAGTACTTTGATTTTGAGAATGATAAAGCACATGCGCAGCTGCGACCATGTTCTAGTTTAACGTGGACTGATGCAAGGATAGACTTAAACCCAAGATAGTGCAGCCAAAAAGTCCTTCCACATCCACACACAGACTGCAGGGTTAAATCGTAGCCATGTTTACTTCTTCAAGAATATAGTAGCCGATTTAACTTTATTTTTCTTCTTTCCAAAGCCATATGAAGGACTAAGGCCCCAGGATCTTCGGAGGTTAAAAGATATGCTTATTGTGGAGACTGCAGACATGCTCCAGGCCCCTCTGTTTACTGCTGAAGCACTGCTCCGAGCTCACGGTAATGAGAAAGATGTCTAATGCCTCTGGTAACTCCATGCCTTTTGAACTTGAGAGTTAAGTATAGTTATGTCTGTGTTAATGAACAAGGTTTTTCAATATGAGCCTACATTGTTTCTGTGCACATGTCGCATTAACAGTCATTTTTCCTCTAACACTTTGTATTTCGTGCATGCAGTGGCTGTAAATCAAGAAGAAATGAGAAATTGCGTTTTTTCTTTTAACATTGAGATACTAAGTAGTTTTTGCTGAAGTCATTCAAGTGTCAGATTGTAGTGACTCAATTAAAATGTTTTAGCAATTATATTTATTCAAAAGCTGTTTCTTACCATGTAATATACAATATACCATCTCTTATAAGTTTTTTTGTTAATTTTTACTTATTCACTTTGGGGTATTTTTTTAATTCATTCACTTATTTTCATTTAGTTTAAAAGTAAGTACTGAATTTAAATAAAAATACATTTAAAAACAGAATAGTAAATATCTGTTCTATTCCAGTTAAACACTGAAACAGATGTTTCTTCCCAAAATGATGTGTCTTTTGGTTGTAGTAAAATTCAAACCTCTGTATTTCATCATGGATTAAGGAGCACTGTTGCCCACTTGTTGGGTAAATCTGCAGAGTTGCATCTTCAGTCTTAGTGTTTGCATGATTCTGTCACTGGTGTTGTTTCCTTCAGAACCCCAATATTCAGATTATGTACCAAGGAACCAAGGCCATTGCTATAAAAAAAATGGCCTGGGAATTTGAACATAGAGTCCAGGCTAGCTAGCTTCAGAGAGTCAAAGTCCTAAGACGTAGGTCTAGCTGCGAAGTACATTTCATCAGGTCTACCAAGCGGACTCCTATGACCCAACAGTTTTTAAATGACTTGAGTTATAATAGCTGCATACCTACAGTGAGATTGTAACCACATTTTCTAGACTGTGTTTCTAAATGTTTAGTTTTTTCACTTTTTGTGTAACCTATCAGTGTCCTCATTGGACTCATCACGCGGGTAGGCATCAGCCTCAGCTAGTTACCCCAGCAGGGACTTGAGTGTCATCCTTCACTCATCACCTGTGGTGTGTCTGCCAGTTCCCATCATTTCTCCTCTGACATCTTGCAGTTCCACTCATCTGCTTCTTCTTCCATTCCCACTGATGACATAAATGTAGACTTAGTATTTTCATTATTAGAATACCCTGATCTTCATTTTGTTCTGCTTTCACACAGTGCACTTGTCATGTCACTTTAGAAGGCCAGTCTGAGCCTGTCATTCCACGCATGAATGCTCTTCACTGGCTCCCAGACGTTAAGCCCAACTAGTTTTTAAAAGTAGACCTATGACACATTTCTTTATCTGGATTGTTAGTCTCTCCAGTTCTTTTACCATGTGTCCCAGTTTGTCTTTAAAAAATCACCTCTTTGTTTTTAATAGGTGAGTAATACTCCACTGTGTAAATGTATCACATTTTCTGTATCCACTCCTCTGTTGAAGGACATCTGGGTTCTTTCCAGCTTCTGGCTATTATAAATAAGGCTGCCATGGTCATAGTGGAGCATGTGTCCCTGTTATATGTTGGAGCATCTTCTGGGTATATGCCCAGGAGTGGTATAGCTGGGTCCTCAGGTAACACCAGACTGATTTCTAAAGTGGTTGCACCAACTTGCAATCCCACCAACAATGGAGGAGTGTTCCTCTTTCTCCACATCCTTGCCAGCATCTGATATCACCTGAGGTTTTGATCTTAGCCATTCTGACTGGTGTGAGGTGGGATCTCAGGGTTGTTTTGATTTACATTTCCCTGATGACTAAGGATGCCGAACATTTCTTAAGGTGCTGCTCAGCCATTCGAGTTTCCTCAGTTGAGAATTCTTTGTTTCGCTCTGTACCCCATTTTTTAATAGGGTTATTTGGTTGTCTGGAGTCTAATTTCTTGAGTTCTTTGTATGTATTGGATATTAGCAATTTTATAAGGTCCCATTTGTCAATTCTTGCTCTTAGAGCATAAGCCATTGGTGTTCTGTTCAGGAAATTTTCCCCTGTGCCCAGGTACTCGAGGTTCTTCCCCACCTTCTATTCTATTAGTTTCAGTGTATCTGGTTTTATGTGAAGGTCCTTTATCCACTTGGACTTGAGCTTTGTACAAGGAGAGAAGAATGGATCAATTTGCATTCCTCTACATGTTGACCTCCAGTTGAACCAGCACCATTTGTTGAAAATGCTGTCCTTTTTCCACTGGACAGTTTTAGCTCCTTTGTCAAAGATCAAGTGACCATAGGTGTGTGGGTTCATTTCTGGGTCTTCAATTCTATTCCATTGATCTTCCTGTCTCTATACCAATACCACGCAATTTTTATCACTACTGCTCTGTAGTACAGCTTGAGGTCAGGGATGGTGATTCCTCCAGAAGTTCTTTTATTGTTGAGAATAGTTTTTGCTATCCTGGGTTTTTTGTTATTGCAAATGAATTTGAGAATTTCTCTTTCTAACTCTGTGTAGAATTGATTTTGGATTTTAATGGGGATTGCTTTGAATCTGTAGATTGGTTTTGGCAAGATGGCCATTTTTACTATATTAATCCTGCTGATCCATGAGCATGGGAGATCTTTCCATCTTCTGAGATCTTCTTCGATTTCTTTCTTCAGAGACTTGAAGTTCTTGTCATACAGATCTTTCACTTGCTTGGTTAGATTCACACCAAGGTATTTTATATTATTTGTGACTATTGTGAAGGGTGTCATTTCCCTAATTTCTTTATCAGCTTGTTTATCCTTCAAGTAGAGGAAGGCCACTGATTTGTTTGAGTTGATTTTATATCCAGCCACTTTGCTGAAGTTGTTTATCAGGTTTAGGAGTTCTCTGGTGGAAGTTTTGAGGTCACTTAAGTATACTATCATATCAATTCTTAGGTAAATGGATGGAACTAGAAAATATCATCCTGAGTGAGGTAACCCAATCAGAAAAGAACACAAATGGTATGCACTCACTGATAATTGGATATTAGCCCAGATGCTGGAAAATCCCAAGATTCAACTCACAGACCACATGAAGCTCATGAAGAAGGAAGACCAAGTGTGGGTGCTTCGGTCCTTCTTAGAAGGAGTAACAAAATACTCAAGGGAGCAAATATGGAGACAAAGTGTGGGACAGAAACTGAAGGAGGGGTCGTCTGGAGACCATTCCACCTGGGTATCCATCCCATGTGCAGTCACCAAAGGTAGACATTGATGTGGATGCCAGGAACTGCATGCTGACAGGAGCCTGATATAGCTGCCTCCTTAGAGGTCTCCCAGAGTCTGACATATTCAGAGGCAGATGCCCACAGCTAACCATTGAACTGATCAAGGGGTTCCCAATGGAGGAGTTAGAGAGAAGACTGAAGGAGCTAAAAGGGTTTATGGTCCCATGGGGAGAGCAACAATACCAACCAACCATAGCTCCCAGGGTCTAAACCACCAGCCTGGGAGCACATAGGGAGGGACACATGACTCCAGTTGTATATGTAGGGCAGGATGGCCTTGTTGGCATAGGTGGGAAAGGAAATCCTTGGTCCCATGAAGGCTGGATGCCCAGTGGAGGGGAATATTCGAGGGTGGGGAAGAGGGAGTGGATGGATGGGTGGGGGCACATCTTCATAGAACCAAGAGGAGGGGGGATGGGATAGGGAGTGCCTGGGCCGGGTGCGGGGATGGTGTATGGAGTAAGGGCATAACATCTGAAATGTAGATAAAATATCTAATAAAAAAAAACACCTCTTCTAGGAATCTTTTAGAACCCTTCATGTTTCCATTATATTCTATACACAACACACACACACACATACACCCTTACACCAGTTTTTCCTTAACTTTCCCAATGCTGTGACCCTTTAATATAGCTCAGGGTACTATTATGTGGGTGTGTTTGCATGTGAGCACACTGACCTGGAAACAGACAGAGGAGCAGTGTTTCAGTTTCTAAGATCATCAGAAATATGTATGTGCCAATGGACTTAGGTAACCCCAGTGAAAGGGTCATTTAACCCCAAAAGGGGTTGTGCCTCACAGGTTGAGAACCTCTGGCTAATACCTTCAGACTAGATAGTAAATGTCTTTGTTTGTGTTTCCTCTTTATTAACCTGGAAACTCATTAGTGGCTGTGTGTGTATGTGTGTGTGTCCCCACAGTACCAAATGTATATTAATATCAGTAAGTACTTGTGATATGAATTATCATCCTTGAATTAAATCCTGAGCCAAATAACTTAAATTTAGATGTTCTTGATAGCCTTTTGGGACTAGAGCTAAAGCTCCCATACAGCTTATAGAGCACTTGCTTAGCATGTATGAAGGCATGTTTATCCCTAGCACCTGTCAATCTGGACATGTTTACAACACTTGTAGTCTCAACATTGTGATATATAAGCAGGATGATCAGAAGCTTGGTGTTATCCTCAGCTGTATAGCAAACTTGGGGCTAACCTGAGCTACCTAGTGCCCTATCTACCAAAACAAACAAAAAAAGCTTTTTAAAGTCATACAATTTAATAGCAGAATAGTGTCCTTTTAGCTAATAGCAATACCTAACAATCATAATAAGAAAACTTGTACAGAATCTCGGAGTTAGGAGAACATTTAAAATCCTATAACTTAGGAGGCAGAGGTTCAAGATTTCTCTAAGTTACATAGGGAGACTCTGTCTCAAAACAAACTTACTCAGCATTTAGGAGTCATAAATCAGAGGATCACTCTAGGCTACATAATAAAGTTCTGGACAGCCTGCACTACAGAGTTATATTCTGTCTCAAAAACCTAAAAGTAAAAGCAATTAAAAAAAAACTGTTTAAAAACTAAAATGTTGACCTGGCAGAAAAATGGAAGCTGTTCATCAGTGGGGTCCTCATAAGCATCTCATTGACCCTACTCTGGTCTCATTCTCAGTGGTTTTACTGGCCAGACTCGGCTAAAGCCCATAATTACCAAATGCAAAATTCAAGAAATAAAGTGCAAGTTTTTAATTACACACCATTCAGA